CTCTGTTTGCGTAGATTTCAAAGCTGATATGGGGGTGATAAAGTAACAACGGACTACACGTCGCACCGAGAGAAAAATAAACGGGTCACAAAACTTACACGTTTCGGAGGTTGAAGAGACCCTTGAAGATACTATGTGGAAGCTCTCTCAGCGAATTTTTCTGCAGATAACTGTGAAAAAGCAAATCAGGGAGTACTGCGACAGTTTCTATTCCTAACAGTATTACAGACAGCCAAAACTTGAAGGAAGCGATTCAAAACATTATGTGGCACCAATTTGTTGAAATAAAAAGATAATAAGTAAACCTGAACCCCATTATCCCCTTAGAAGTGTGTTTTACATGTTATAGACGCAACGAATGCACAAGGTAATTCGGGTACATATCTTTTTTTAAAAATTCCCACGCGGCGGTTTTCATTTGAAATCCCCTCCAACGGCTCACAGGTTCATTTCGGGATTGTACTGAAGGCTCACATACAGTGTGGGTAGCCTTCGCCACAGACGAAACTAAACCGTTGGCCACTAACTTGAGTTAAATTACTTCTCGACGCAGGGTAGATCTGGGCTGGCTGTTATAGCAGTAGGTTGCTACTTTATAGTAGAGGTAATGGCGACTTTGGATAAAGTTTGAGAAAACCTTTGGTATTTTAAGAGGACCACTTGAGGTAGTTGTTGTTCATTCTCAAGGGAAACTGTTAAAAGTAGCATTATGATCATTACTCTCCTTTAAACGACAATAATAAACTTAGGAAACAAATTTGAAATGTTTTTTTTTATGGCCTTCACTCGTTTTTCTACACTCCTCGGATCTTCCCGACTGTTTTTTTTCGGCTAGCAACTCTAACTGCACCGAACGAACTCTCATGAAAGTCCATATGTTACTGCTCAATCAACTTTTCTTAAAAGCGTAAGACAGAATTCAATTTTTATCTTAACATTTATCAGTTTAACGTTAATTTGCTATAGTATTGAAGGTTTTCTTTCAGTGGAAAGTATTTTAACCATAAAACAGTTATTTAACAGTACTCTGCTAACCATGGAAGAATCACAGGTATTCTAGAATTGACTTGGCCATTAAATTTAGTCGTTAAAGGTAACCAAAGTATACTTAAGGCGTCTAAGATAATTTTAGAAAAATCCTTGTACTTATTCCCGAACTAATGGTTGACTTACATAGTAGTCAGATTCGTCAGGTCGTTGAAAATGAACCAAGGCAATCCCACAAGACGGTTGTTGGACAAATCACTGAAAATGCATTTGTATGGTAACATGTTTTTTAAGTATTGCAAAGTACGCAGAGCTCTTACACGTATGTACTGCTTAACACAGAGCACTGACCTGGGCATAACGGAGCATTAAGAAGGATAAACAGAGTTAAAAATATCTTTAAATTTTAAAACTACCTTACTGCTACGTGTTATTCAGCGATACCCTTCAACTTAACAACACATGAATAATCAGGGCCGCGCAGTTCCTTTCCAAAAACTGAGCAGAATAGAAAAATAAAAGGAATAGTAAAAGGGACCGACAAATTTCCCTGAGATCGCAAATTTGAAGCTTCGTGTCTGTCGCTAGAAATAATGAAGGACATTTAGTGAGGATTTCAAACTGTAAAGAGTTTCAAAAGTAGGTCGAGTTTGATCGTCCAGGTCTGTTGTTGTTGACAGTGACCGACTTTCCGACAACCTGCTGCGCAGTAGTCATCTCCAGAGTCAAAGTGAGTTGTATCAAGTCAGTTAATCACGTCAGTTGATGATATTATACTCTGGTTATGGACTTGATTGGTCAATTGCGTCGCGATGTTATTGGTCGATAATAACGATTGATGGATCATCAAATGCAGATTTTAAAACGTTTTTGCCATGTAGTTATTTCATAATTTGCATTTGAATAAAGACGATAATAAATTTAGATGGATTTCTAACCACTTTAGAATCCCCAAATAACAAAATTTCCGGGATGGCATGCGGGACACCCACAGTGTGCTCACGCTTACGGCATTGTTTTTGCGCCCTCGTTGGTAACATTCCCCTGTGGGTCCTGATAATGCGACCTAGAGATAGAAATACAGTGAACGATATACAGACAGCCGGGAAAGGTTAATGTTACGCACTTATGTTCCTCATGCACGGAGGAACTTTAGGGGGTGTTTACATGAGAAAACTTGCATCGGCGCGAGTTTCATACCGTGATGACTTTTTGATTTCGTAACGCGTTTACATGATGGTGGGTCATTTCATATCTCGGTTATTTGAGGGTACACTTCACGTTGATAAAATACACATGCGATTCAAAATCGCAGACATTACACATATATACACTACCCGTTCCAGTCCACCGGTAGACCGATTTCACACCGAAACGGGTGGTCGTTTCGCAAATGACTTGCTCATTCTGACTTGTTCAGAAGAAATGAATAGAAACCGATTATTGCATACTTACAGACTGACAAGACTGCCAAGCCTATGAAAAGAACGCGGTCTGATTTTTCCTTCTAGTTGATTGTTGGAGAGATTTCTGCAAAACGTAGAATGATAGGCTCTGATAAACGGCTCTTAGAAATGACAGGGCTAGAAAGGGCTAAAATGGTTTGATAGGGTTTTTGTAGCCCAAATATTAGTTCCTCAGTAGGTTAAATCAGATATTAGGTCACCAGGTGCGTGATTAGTCAAGCATTCCTAAGTTTAAAGTTAAAGTAAATATACAGTAAACTCCCGCATATAAGAACCTACTTTTTTAAAGCCTGGAAAAACAAACATTATGACGAGAAGATGGAATCATAATGTCATTTTATTTCTAGGGATTTCTCGTTTCTTATCAACAGTGTGCAGGCGGTGGTTCCCTGGCCAATTAGGAGATCGAACGTGTTTAGTTCTGTATAAAAGACTTGTTATATGTTTTATGCGGCCCTTCCAGCCATTGCCATCAACATGTACTGACATCCCTTTGAAGCTTAGTGGAAAATTTTTCCCACTACCTCCCCAGTCTCCGACCTGCCACTGTCTACATCCTCTTATAGTTTTATCTTTTTTAGTTTGTGGTAAGTATTTGCTAATTTGTGGCGGATTTTTGTCCCCACCTTTCCTGAAGAGATGTTAATTAGTTATTTTTATCATTGGTTTCAATTAAAAACGTCACGCTTGTGACCATTTATCCCAAACTGTTGAGATTCTTGCTTAGGTCATCTCTTCAGCAAACCAGTGCACCACCCTGCGGAGCTCTCTATCGTTTTCGTAAGTTCGGTTTGGGAAGACTCGCAATAAAATTGGTTCTTGTATTTTGGGATATTTATTAGTAGGTTCTTAATTAGGTTCTTAATTTCTATATAGGGGAAAACCGATTATTGATTACCACAAAAATAAATAAACGTGGGTTCTTTGGTCCTTTAAAAATATACCTTTTGTATCCAAGTTCCATGAAGACGATCATTACAGCAGTCTGTACTTTATATAAACTTAATCTTGTTGTTCGGATTAATTAACTTTTATTTCTGTTCAGTTTTTGGAAAGGAACTAAAAAGACGGAACATTGATTCACGTAAAGACTATGTTTCTATGACTTTCTTCAAAGTTACACTCCTTGGTTCAATCAGTGTTCATCATAATCTAACTGCAACCCACATAAGAATCTGCTTGATCTTGTTTGGCTAAACAGATTCTTGTATTTTGGGGTATTAAAGTGGCAAATTTCTGTTAGGGTTTCCGCAGGTGCTTAGATGCGGGTGTTTACTGTACATCTCAACTAAACACAAGGTTGTTCTTGAGGAAAAATATTCATTATATGTAATATTACCTTAAAAAACAACAAAACGTCAAAAAATGCTTTTGAGATGAAAATTAGCAATCTCATATTTTTATGATTTCGGGAAAGAGCTTCAATAATATCTTGCCCTTACAAATATTCAGCGTCCCATGGTAAGTCTCGTGGAATTTCTGTCAATCCCCTGCTACTGCAGTCAACCATTTTCCAAAATGGAGCTGTGTTACTTATGGAGCAGTTGCATACTTCCGGACAGTCTGTAAATCAAATTTGAGTGGCTTAGGAGATAAAGAGCGAAAGAAACCTGGAAAGAAAACCTGGTCATGGAAAGTAGATATGATGTTCTGAGGGATTTCTAGACAGCTAGATCCTTAGATTTCTTGTGCTTGTACCTCGTTGGTTTTTAAAATTACATTTCGAAAGGAGCAACAGAATGATCAAATTAAGGTCGACCCATGCAGATGGCAATTTGGTTCATAAGTGAACGTTTTGACGTTTAGAGTTGGCCTTTGGCATAGCAATTAATAGCTATTTTAAACAAAAGGGGAGCGTTTAATAAATGGACAAATATTTCGTACGTCACTATATTTGCAATACACCAGCAATGAGAAGGAAATAGACAACTATAGGGCGACATTCAAGTGGAAATAATGTCACATATATTCCAATTGCATCTCTAATCTTACATATAATATTATTAGTGTTTTGTATTAATGATGATGGCCACGCCTGAAACCACTGAAGTTCAATCTCTTTCTTTCTGCTATAAATCGCAAAAATAAACGGAGAATTCCAATTTATCGTAGATAATAATTATAGTATTATATTGACAGGCAACTTTCTCTTGACAGAAATGCAAGAATGTTTTCCGCGGAAACATACTCGCACAGCTATTTTCATTAAAATGACATGTTTGTTTTTCGACCTTTTTTAATTGTAAGGATCAGTTATTCGCGACCTTCCTCAAGGAACATGTTATTTAATCAATCATCTTTGAAATAAGCGTATCGTGTAGCGTATAGCTGCTACAAAATAAAAGAAAATCATTGCCGTACGATGGAATATAATGTGTCGATGAAGATCAAGTCATTCGTCACGACGTGTTCTGACTGTTCTGTGTTTCTGAATTTTAAGATTGTGGACAAATTCCCGATGAAACCATTTAGTTAATAAAAGACTTTCACATATCACTCATTGTTTTTAAGTATTTTATAAAATGAAAGTGAGATGATTTCTGGTTTAATTTTTTAGCAGTCTTGGATATTAAAAAAAATTCAGTTGTTTGGCCTTCGAATAAGATCTAAAGCATAGAAACCTTTTAAAATGACGTTGTAATTACACGAACCTATAAATATATGGCCAGAAGGCTTGGTCCTTCAGATTATAGTTTATAGATCAGTGGGAACAACTTTACTATTTCAAATATAGAAGTGCTTCTTGATTTCGTATTACATCTAAGATTATTTGATTATTTAACTTATCCACAATATAATGTGATAAAACTTTTCAAACCTCTTTTCTGTCCTCTGACGGCGAGAAAAATCCACCACATGTGAAGGAAAAGAAATGACAGCATGATTTTCCTAAAAGCCATCTAGATAGGTTCTTAGGAAAAGAAACCCAGTGACTGATGAAATCCTGGCATTTTCAGTCTTTATTATGCACCTAAAACATTGTTTTTAGTCCCGAATGAAAACCAGTAATGGTTTAATTAAATACATTTGAGAAATACACGACAGCTGATGTAAACCGTATGGAAATTAGTAAAGGATAAAATGAATAGTGCATAATGGCGTTACCTACCAATCAAACCCAGAGAGACTAAAATGGCTCAAATATTTGAAGTCAATTACCGTTAGGTTTGGTCTAACCATGTCTTTCAGAATAGAAATTTTAAGCACAATGAAATGGTTCCTTCATGTAGGAAACATTCAATAATACTTCGCGCGCTAATTGTTTTTGCACATTTTTATTTTGCTAGCAATTTTTGCCGCAACCTTATGCCCTGTCATGTATAGGGTATGTACGCTAAGAAAATGTCATGAATGATAAATGGCTGAACAACTCTTTCAACTAAAGCAAAAAAAAAACAAACAAACAACAACAACAACAAGGGAACTCAGTGGTGGATCTAGGGAAGGGTCCCGAAGGACCTGCCTGAACTGAGGCTAGCAGGGTCTAGCCCCTCTTACCTGAGCGCCACCTCTTTACTGCAAGGCCTGGATCCGCCTGTGATGCATGCTATATGTGAAAATTGTTAATTAACATAAAATATGGGAATTACTTCTTTCTCAGTTATAAACCTGATTCCTGCAAAGTTTGGTAAATTTGACGATTTTATATGGAAAAAGGCTAATTTGAAACAATGTGGTAACTTTCCCAGAGTAGTAGGTAAATAGCAAATTCGGCAGTGGATTTTTCCCGAACATGTTTGTCAGGATTGGCCAATATTTTCAAAAGGAGGTATAGGTGGAAATATTGACATTGACATTTGCATTGCTGATTACCATTTTTAAAAACGTTTAAAAACTGAAAGATTTATGAGTCCAGGAAGGAAAATATGCATTATTCCAGAGTATAAAGGTCCTTGCAAGACCATCATCGAATTTGTATTCAGAACTGGACAATTTCTCTATTGAACATTTATGAGTTTTTGAAGACATGCTAATATCTACACTGACTCCTTTATGTCATGCGACATTTTTATTTTTTTTTCACGAAAATTCAGAGTAGTAGTCTAGTACAAGTAGAACTATAATATCTAGTATAAACCTTTTTTTAAATTTTCCTTCAGATAATAGAGAAATTTAGAGGCATGTTTACAGGAAACGGAAAACGTCACTTTGTATCACGTGATACCACAGTTTTCCCTAAATGCCAGTTTAATCCACAGGAATTATTTTGGACAATTTTTCTCTGATTATTTTCTAATCTGAGAAACTGTCAACTGTTATATGATTCTAAATCTTTCTAACGGCTCTTTGATTGCAATAGATGTTCTGTGCACTCATTCATTTCAGTTAACAAGTCATAAACCTTTTACTTTTTCTCCGGACATACTAATGTTTAAACATAATCTTATATAAACTACACTTTTTTCAGTTTTGTATTTATTGTGCGATTTTTGTTTCCTAACCATAATTTAAGGCCCCATCCACACGTACCCCGATATTTTTGAATCCGCAACTTTTTCTTTCCGGATACGGCTTCCGTCGACACGTATCCGGTGTATCCGGCATTCGAATCCGCAACTTCTTGAATCCGCTCTCCAAAGTAGACATTTTTTAATACGCTATGAATCCGAAATCGTGTGCACGCTAAATCTAGATTTTTTTTACCCGATAACGTAAAAAGATCGAGCCCAGTTCTTTACCGTAAATACTGTATTCATATTATTTAAGATGGCAACCATCATTCCTAGTAAAAGAACTTTGCTCTTCGCATTTTTCTTTGATTTCTGTTCTGATTCTGTCATAATTCGAGCAATAAAATCGAGAATCATGACACAAGGCAGAGCAAGATGCAAATTTCGCCCGCTTTTCGACGTATGCTCTTTTGCCAATATTCCCAGAGGAGTTCTGCGGCCGTACTACAGTGCATCCGGATACGTGTTGGATACGTGTGGACGGGCCAATTCGATTTGAATATGGATACGTGTAGACGTGGAAATTTTGAATCCGGAAGAAAGGTTCCAGATTCAAAAATATCCGGACACGTGTGGGCTAGGAGGCGGGGGAGCTATTTCTTCCAACTAGCTTTTTTCATGGTGGTAAACTCGAAGTATGTAATTGTTGCGAAATATATTGTTCAATTATAACTTAACAAAAGGGTTGACTTCCCGACGAATGCGCGCAGCGTTAAGATTCTTTCTGTGACATTGTCTAATAATGAAATGGACATCTAGCCGAATTTTTGAAAACATACCTCAAAACGGCCCAGAATATTCGCACAGGAACCTGGCGATAGCAAGGTTTCTGGTCACTGCGGTGAGAATAAACATAGGAAGCTTGCTGTCCTGGTTGGTCTCACTCTCAAGCTCAGTACCTGAGCTAACCCGCCATAGTTTGGAAAGGGGCCTCCATGTCAATCCTTAGAGGGGGAGGGTGCTGCAAAAGCGTGGTGCTGTCCGTTAGTCTTGCTCTGGGAGAGTCAGTGCACTGGTCTTGTCTGCCTTAAGTTTGTCATGTCAAATTCTTTTAATATTTGAGGCCTATTGGCCAATGAAAGCATTCCCCTCAAGCACGTGCTAGGCTGGGGGGAGGGGAGGGGAGGAAGTCAGAGGGGGTGATGTGGCCTTGAATTCTCTGCTTATAACTTGCTTAAGTCTCAAGTATCCTCTGTCATGTAGAGCCCTCAAGCAGCTAGAGTGTATGGCTAAGTCGAGAGTTTTTTTTTGCTGGACTTTGAATGTTTCTCTGCTAATCAGGAACCAAGAAGAAAGCCACCTTAAGAGAACCATGGTATTTACTTTAGTTGAGTCAGTTTAAGGTGTGTTGACTCGAGGAGCCAGCTGGTGCGGTTTTATAAATCCGGCTAGACGTAAACTAAACAATTCAACGGGTGATAGGTTTGATTAATAAATAATGTCTACGAGCAACCAGTTAAATTTAGGGAGATCCGCATTAATTGGATTTCAGACTGGAAAAATTAATTACTCTTTTCATTTTCTTTATTACACGAATCATTTTGTTATAATCATTGTCACCATAAGGCTCTTTATTTCTCATTTCAGAATGGAGAACTCATCCACCACCGTCGGCTTCCATAATATGTCTTCGCCCTATCTTCCTTCCAAAGCCGAGGGTATCGCATGGTGCAGTGCTTTAACATTGGAAGCAGTTTTAATTGTTTTAGCAAACTTGCTCGCTCTTGCTCTCTTCGCTGTTAACAAGAGGCTTCGTAAGAGAAGTTTGTTTTTGGTCATTAACATGGCGTTTGCTGATTTGCTATCCGGAGCTTTGTCCCTCCCAATTTTCATTTACACCGTTGGAGCTGGTTTCATGCTTTGGAAAGCTCGATTCGACAAGACGTTTTATGCTTATCAAGTTTTTGGTCAAACCGTTGTCTTACAGGCGTCACTATTTTCTGCGTCATTGATAACTTGTGAGAGATTTTACGCTGTTTATTGGCCCTTGAAGCACCGAACTTTGTCAGTGGGGGCGTACCGCGCAGCTATTTTTATGGTTTGGATACTAGCCATCCTTTTTTCTATTCTTCAGCTTTTAATTTCCAACAAACCTGCTTTTTACACGTTTGTTTCGATCTTGTTGAGTCTATTATTTACAGTATGTATCTGTAACATCGCTATTTGGAGAAAATTTCAACGAAGAATTGCATCGCAACAACAAAACCGAGAAGCACAAAATCGACGTCTTACAAGGACCTTGCTTTTAACATCGGCTGTCGAGATCTTATCTTGGCTTCCTTTGACTATAAGTAATCTTCTAGTTATTGCTTTTGAGGTCCCCGTCCCTTTAGCAGTTTTGTTCACGTGTGTCGCCGTAAATTATTCAAACTTTGTCCTAAATCCAATCATTTATGCGCTAAGGTTTCCGGAGTTTAAACAAGCACTAGACGTTTGTTGCCATAGAAATCATGACGCAACGATAAACGTAGAGGGCAGTGGTCGAAATAACAACGTGGGCTCTAATGCATACAGGATTTCTGGGATGCAAACATTGGGTTTGTGTTGTTGTAGAAGTCGGAATTCGATGAACACTAGAGAAGGTGCCGGTGGTGAAAGAAATTATAGAGTCCACAATTTGAGACCAACGACATTGTCAACTAACTCTAGTGACTTACAGCTTGCGTTTTCACAGGAAGTTATGGACACAAGATTATAGTTTCATGATGTGATTGAGTATTAAGTTTTCATGAGGTGATGAAGACAAAACCTGTTAATAATTTTGTTGTCTTGTGACTTTTTTCAATGCAAGTCAGAGGTACTCCAAGTTCATGAGTGAAAATTGTTGTTGCCTAACAGAAATATTATATGGGTCGATCGTTATTTAGGGGTAAAAAATAGCAATAAACCTACATCGAAGACTGTCAACGTACTAGCATTAATAGACCTCTTTACCTTTTATTTTCCGTTTTCGCAGTTAAGGTCCTAGGGGAGTTTGACCTTTTGCCTTTACATAAATTACGCGTACAATACGCGTGTGATTAAGACTTAAGTTGAAAGAAACAAATCTTAAAGATTATTATTCCTTGACCAGCATTGGAAAAACAAAGCACTATGCAAGCGAAAGAGGTTTATTAAATTAGATAAGCAAACTGGCGCAAGAGAAGGAGTAGGAAAAAAAAAGCAAAAAAGTATCTGGATACTTCAATTAAGAATAAACTCAAGTTGATTTTACGATTCTTTCATTGATTGGCGTGCTGGCAAAACTCTTTTATTACTTTAAACTAACAAATATAATGGTATCAGGAAGAAATTGAAGAGCTGTGGTGCCTACTCAATCCCGTAATGTTTTTACTTTTTAAGCTTTCTACATAGTACAATCTCCACTGGAGGTTGCTTAGGTGGGTCGCATCCTTTTTGAAAGGGAGGGCTCAGGTCACACGCGTTGGTGCCTCGGTTTCTACTCCTTTATATCTAAATGGAGGAATTCCTCAGGGCACAAAATTGGGTCCTGTGTTGTTTGCTGTTATGGTCAATGACCTTGATCAAAGTTGGAACGCCCGCATTAAGTTAGTGGATGATCTGACGGTTTTGGAGGTTGTACCTCGCAACCCTTATTGAATGTAGTAGTTGATGATATCCACCCTTTCGCTGTTAACAAAAATATGCGTTTAAACCCCCGTAAATGCAAGACCATGAATGTTGACTTTCTTCACTACAATAATTGCGTTCCTCGCCCAATCGCGGTTGGTGGGCTGATATTGAGCAGGTCTCTACATTTAAGCTTCTCAGTGTCCATCTTTCTGAGGACCTCACTTGGGCAGTGCACTGCGACTACATAGTGAAGAAGGCCAACAGACGGCTATATGCACTGAGACAACTCAAGAAGTGCAAAGTTCCGTCAGCTGATATTGTTCATATCTACTGCGCGCTAATTCGCTCTGTACTAGAGTACACCTCCGCTGCCTTTACCGACCTGCCAATTGTATCTTGCTTGCTATCTTGAGAATGTGCAAAACAGGGCCCTTTCCATCGTTTGGCCTGGTATTTCGTATGAAACAGCACTTGACAAAGCTGCATTATCCACTCTTTCTGACCGTCGGGCAGTCTCCTATATTAAATTTATAGGTAAGGTTCGGCCAGGTAACCCATTATTTATACCCACTTTTACACAACAGAGTGGTACCTATATCTACCTGTGTGTATGTAAGATCAGGAAGTTCTAGCAGGCCCATGGCCACAAGGACTGAACGTTTCTCAAATTTTGTTAGTGTTGAATATTAATCTTGTCAATAAGTGTAGCGTATTAGTATATATATCACAGCTTGTAAGGTATCCTACAATTCAGTCTCCTGACTGCAAAAGGGACAATAAACCCGTGATTTGATTCGATTTTATTTAAAAAAAACCGTATTTCTCACCAAGTCTTCTTTTTTGGACCGATTTTTGGCTAATTGACATAGTAATAGCCACAAAAGAGTTTTGCAACAGTAAGGACATATTTTCCGACAGATCGGATCGAATTAAGCAGCTTTTTTGTTTTTTGCTCATGCACTTATTTTTTTAAAACCAAAATTTGGACTGTTTTGCGAATCTAGTTCTATATTTCTTTTTCGCTCTTTTTTTTCCCTCTTCCTTTCTTTTTTATAAGCCGGAAAGAGGGGAAGATTTGCCCTCGTATAAATTTACAACTCCTAGACATTTTATAATCCGTCTAAAAAGTTCTAGTTTTTCCAGTGCGTTTTTTTGCCCACTTTATCGTCTTTCTTTTGTATGGAATTGTGTCTGCTTAACTTTTTAGAAAAGGGACAAATGTAATCTGCAAAGAGTAGTGGGTTCAAAGCCAAGTCGCAGGGGTGGCGCCGGTTTAATTGGGAATATATGTAATATTGGCTCGACAGCGATAATGATGAGTGCCGAAGGCACGAGACGCAGAAACTAGGGGGGTCAGGGGGCATGCTGGGGAATTTTGAAAATTTAACTACTCTAGGATGCAATCTGGAGCAATGTGAACACTAAATTTTGGCAAACACCAGGATTTAATGGTGGTCAATAAAGTAAGAAAAACTTGATGACCTTTTCCAGCTTAGCAAAAAAACTTATCGATCTTGAAAACTTTCGTAGAAAATTATCAATTCACTGTCAATTGTCAGTTTGTTTTAGCTACCGTTCCATACGTGGTAAGAGAAAGGTTTAATTGACATATAATTTTCCAAAGCGATTTTACCTGTCATTTGATGTTGAAACAAACTGATTTCCAATGTCTGCCATGTTCATAGTTGTTCGAAGATACCGGTCTTGAGCCTTCAAAGAGCAGAGGCCGAGCGCTCAATCACAGCATTCGTGTCAGGTACAACAGGAGGTATTAAACTTCACAAGGTTAAAAACGTCTGAGAAATAATTAATCAACAGCTGAACTGGAGGGGTTTGCCAGTCCAGCGCATCGCTCTGAGAGATTTCTGCTTTGGCAGCAGTGAATAGCGCTCCAAGTCGTCTCCATAAGAATCACAGACAGAATCAAGATCCTCATGGCGTACGATCCCCGCCAAAATTCATTGTTTGAATTTTAAATTCATCATTTAAATTTCTACTTGAATTTTATAGCCGAATATAAAATTTTACACTCTTCCTTCAGATTTCACATCATTGGGAAAACGTTTTTAAACTCGTCTTTTATTTTTTAAACTCAACCCTTTTATTTAACCTTGCTCGCCGTATATTTTCAACTCGCTTCATCAAATTACACTTGCCGAGTCATATTTCAAACTCGACCACACGACTTCTGAATTTTCGTTCACGCTTCAGTGATCGTTGATCAAGACCATCTTTGGAAGGTGTTGACAGGCCAAATATGACTCATAAGCTCGTGATAGTGTGATACGAGACCTTATAGTCTTGCTCTAACGAGGATATCTCCCAGCGATTTTTCTCTTTTATATAAAATGATGGTAGGCTCATTGTATATTTCTCTCGGTAGCCGGTTGATCTTGAATTAAGTGCCATTTGCTCATTAAAATGTTTTTAAGGTTTGGCAAAGCAGGGTGGTACGTGGTAACAAAAGGCAAAATTTTCTTCCGCACTTGATTGTTCTAATAACAGACGCTTTCGATAAACATTTAAGAATAAAAATCAACGATAAAAATTTTGAATGACGTTTCGATGACTCGCTCATCATTTTGAAAATGATGAAAATGAAAAATGAAAATGATGAGCGAGTCATCGAAACGTCATTCAAAATTTTTATCGTTGATTTTTACTCTTAAACACTTGATTGTTCTTTTGTAAAGTTAACTTCCGTTCGGTAAATTTAACCTCAGAGGTGATTTTTTCTATGAGATTGTAAGGGTAACCTCTAGCGCGAGGGCGCTTTTTGAAGGATTTAGCTGAGGAGTTAGTTCTCAGAAGCCTAATGGCTTCGCCCTTTATGAGACCTTTTCTGACCCTGTGAGGGTTACAGGAAGAGAAATGCGTGTATTGAAAAGTCTCTGTCGGTTTAAAGGGACTGTATGGTTCACGATAATGCTTATGTGTGAGTTCTGACAGTAGCTGATTGTTTTTAAACCAATCAGAAGCGAGTTAGATGTACACAAGTAAATTTACAAAATTCAAATTCATTGTTCGAGACGCGCGAGTATTTCCTGTCATTTGGTTTGATTTTATATATCCCCATAATTCAAGTTTATTCCTTGCTACTCCTCAGATATATATTGCAGCCGATTATAATAAGATTTACTGTCCTGCTTTGAAACAAACATTTATCAACGTGTATTTTTACGAGGTCGTACCCACGCTGACAAAGTAGTCACCGATCGGCAAACAAAATTTGTCAACAAACATTTTATTACTGTTCTCTCAGTTCGCCTTAATATAAACCCAGAAATACCTATCAATAGCGCCTGACCGGTGACAAAACCACACAACGTATGAGTATAAAGATTATCCTTAACTGAGCATTAATTTCAATTGCTTATCAGCAAATGAACAAATTCATTCGCGTTGTATCGGGTCTGTGTTCCGCAAAACAAATGTTATCGAGTTGAACACATAAAGAAACTAGATTATAAACAGAATATTCAGGCAATAATTTATTTTCAAAACATCAATTCCTAAACATATACGATCGTAAAGCAAAGATACAAGGAACATTTCAAGTGTACCAGATCGGTGAAGATCGCGCGGCCTGTTGCGGTATTACTACAGGTCGGAGTCAAAAATCAAATCAAAGTTGAACGAACTCATGCCTTTAACCACTTTGTGTCGTGTATTCTTTTCGTAAGCCACACACTACTCCTAGAACCATACCAGATCGATCGGCTAAGCTTCTCTATCTCCAAAGACTCTTGAGAACGTCCTGTTGCCGGACGGCCACGATGCTCTTCTGAACCTCCATGATCAAAACATTATATTTTGCATCTTCTTAAAACGTAACCGGTCAAACAACACAACCACACGTTAATCACCACTAAGCGACCGATGTCGGAATAAAACGAAGGATTTTCAATGATTGTACCAGTAATGGCGATTTCGAATTTAGTGTTGACCCAACAAATTTATTCTGAAGAGACAAACGGCGCGCATGCGCATAACCGTGATCGCGTCCCTTTAAAATGTGTGTGGATGTCAAGAATTCCTTCGTTGTGAAATCTCTCGCCTTTGTAAATGGTTGTATCCAGAAAGTTAATCTCTTTATCAGATATTTCAGCCGTAAATTTAATTGAAGGGTGATGCCTGTTTGCAAGAACAATGAATTCATCTATCTCCTTTCTCTCAGTTCTCCACAATGAGAAAATATTGTCAATGTATCTTTTCCACTCAAGGGGTTTAGTTTTGCTGAAGTTCAGGATTTCTGTCTCTACCACCGAGATGAAGATGTTGGCAAAGGCGACTGCCATCTTTATACCCATTGCGGTTCCGTATGTTTTTTCACATGGCTAAGGAAATTCAGTTCTATCCGTTCGAGANGCGGCCTGTTGCGGTATTACTACAGGTCGGAGTCAAAAATCAAATCAAAGTTGAACGAACTCATGCCTTTAACCACTTTGTGTCGTGTATTCTTTTCGTAAGCCACACACTACTCCTAGAACCATACCAGATCGATCGGCTAAGCTTCTCTATCTCCAAAGACTCTTGAGAACGTCCTGTTGCCGGACGGCCACGATGCTCTTCTGAACCTCCATGATCAAAACATTATATTTTGCATCTTCTTAAAACGTAACCGGTCAAACAACACAACCACACGTTAATCACCACTAAGCGACCGATGTCGGAATAAAACGAAGGATTTTCAATGATTGTACCAGTAATGGCGATTTCGAATTTAGTGTTGACCCAACAAATTTATTCTGAAGAGACAAACGGCGCGCATGCGCATAACCGTGATCGCGTCCCTTTAAAATGTGTGTGGATGTCAAGAATTCCTTCGTTGTGAAATCTCTCGCCTTTGTAAATGGTTGTATCCAGAAAGTTAATCTCTTTATCAGATATTTCAGCCGTAAATTTAATTGAAGGGTGATGCCTGTTTGCAAGAACAATGAATTCATCTATCTCCTTTCTCTCAGTTCTCCACAATGAGAAAATATTGTCAATGTATCTTTTCCACTCAAGGGGTTTAGTTTTGCTGAAGTTCAGGATTTCTGTCTCTACCACCGAGATGAAGATGTTGGCAAAGGCGACTGCCATCTTTATACCCGTTGCGGTTCCGTATGTTTTTTCACATGGCTAAGGAAATTCAGTTCTATCCGTTCGAGAAATGTTGGCTGTAAGCTAATGTGGGATGATATTGCACATTCATGTTATGATCAAGTGACAGTTGTCAATACAGGGTATCCGCTGACTTGAATTGCATGACCTTATCGCGGGCTCAAGGTATTTTAACCTACAAGGCACATGAAATAATTACTGGTAAGCTGTGCTTTAAGCCAGCTGCCGGACTTCGGACGCGAAAAGGCAGCCTTTTTTACAGGTAGAGAAGGCAGTTTCTTTTAAGTTGTCTCTTGCACCTTAAAACCACAAAAAACGTTTACTTTGTTTAGCATGGTCACGCGTTGGTCACGCTCTACGTCCCATCCGTCCCATTCTTATCTCAGATTGGTCAAAATTTGACAGGTGAGTTCACGTAAAAACTTATGAAGCATTTGGAAACTGACTGCTTGGCTCAGCTCTAATTATGTTTTAAACGTCTTTTTGCACTGGATCTGCAAAATGAAATGCTATCAAGAATCTTTTGTCATTCCTGGTGGCTTGTTTATTAGGTTTTTGGTTGAGAAATGCGCCGCATGACAATACCATCAACTGATGTGATACAACTCACTTTGACTCTGAAGATGACTACCGCACAGGGCTGAGTTGCTCAAAGCATGGTTAGCTTTAACCATTGGTTAAGCAGTATCAAAACCAATACGTTGTCAAGGTATTAAACGCTGGTTAATGCTAGCCATGCTTCGAGCAACTGGGCCCAGGTTGTCGAAACGTCACTGTCAACAACAACTGTCCTATTCAGGACTACTTTCACCCCGACGATCAAATTCAACCTACTTCTGAAATGACTCCTGGGTTCAAACCTTTCACCAAAAAAAGGTGGAAATCATTGTTTTAAAAAATAAGTTACTCTTCGTACTCCTGATGCACAAGAGGGTTCAAAAGTGTTAAGCAATTCTGGACTCACTTGATCGCGTTCAGGAACTGCATCTCGACTGGTAAGCTTGAGTAATTATATTGCATTTGATGTTTGTTTTTTTCCGGTTTCATGAAGTCGAGCTTTGTTTTTGCCGTCACTTTACGCACGTTTGTAAGATTTGCGACAATGATCTGACCTAGTACAGAATTAAAAAGTCTTAAGACATTTTCTGACCACGACTAGAAAGTACACATTCTGAAGAATATTTAGTTCATTCTTTTAGTTGTAAAAAGAAAGCTTTGAGCGATATTCTTGCCTTGAGTTCATCTTAAAAAAATAGCAAACACGGCGAAGCCGGCTTAAAACTTTAGCTCAAATCTGCAAGGTTTTATTCAAGACTCAGAATTTTCGGAGACACGTCACTATCAATACGTTCATGTCTTCGTAAATAAAAATTGTTGTCCTTTTAACTGTTTCAATAGATTATATTTCTTGTCTTGATTTTTTGTCACGATCTCTTTCTTATCTCCTTGCCGGCTGTTTTCAGTCGTACATTAACGTCACACGCGGCAGTAGTGCTCAAAATGCCGCGTTAAAGATTATGGTGTTTTAGAAATAAAATGCAAACAAAATGTTTCTGAGACCTCTTCCTACTAGGGGTGTTCGAATTTTTAAATAAATATATATTTTTTTATTTTGAAGCGTAAATCGATTACCGGGTACTGCTCATTCAAACACACAACAGCTCGCACTGCAATTTTGGCGCTTCTCAAAATTCAGAAGTGGCTGGCCGGACGGGTGACTTTTAAAATTAAACTAAAATAAGATTTTTTCGAAAGTTTTTACTCAAAGCCCATTATTACCCTGCATACCACATAATGGCAGATTGACCCAACTAAACAGTCCCTCTAATAGTGAATTCTCTATTAAAAATGTTTTATGTTGTTGTCACCTATAAAATTTGTTTTGCGCAAGGGAAGCGCGTGCTTCGATCTTCAAGAATATAAAATGAGTGCGTTTTGTCTTGTAAGATTATATTCTGTAAAAAGCTGCAGAATTATAAGTAAAAGAGGACAAGAAATGACATAATTTGTCCGAGGTCTGAAATATAAACAACAAAGCCTGATAGTTCTGTTTTAACCCTAGGTGATGTAAACTGAAAGGCTGGTTTACACACTACCAGATTTGTAAAGTAAACTTGTAGCGAGCCACACAAAAAAGGCCTGATTTTTCATCTTGGCCTTTCCTTTAGACAGAGAGATAAAACCGAGGACTATCGTGTCTTTTTAGAGCATAAAATTATATTTCGGGGCTGTCCAATTACCCTTGTAAAATAAGGGTGGTCTAGGTTGGCAAAAAGGTCATTTTGCTTATGGGAAGAATTTGTTTTCCACGCTCAAATCTACTGTGATCAAAGGCGATTGCTTTGTTTTGGGTGTACATATAAGACTGTTTAACTCAATGTGAGATTTTAGGTGTTGTTTCATTCTTGAACTGTTTGCAAAGTATTTTTTCTCTAAAATCGCGCAACTCACAAATCAGTTAACTGGAGAGATCCAGTTAACTGATTTGTGGATAATTTACAGATTTATTGTTTGATTTGAATTATAAATTTATTAACTTGAGCTACGCTTTTAGGCTTGGCTAAATCTATATATTAGTTTGATATGATGTGATTGAGAATTCAATAAAACTTTATTCAACTTTAAAAATATGCACATAATTTACAGAAATATTTGAAGTAAGAATTAAGCACTATATGACATTAAGAATTATACCAGTCATAAAAAATACAATCACTGTCAATAACGATTTCCCAAATACATTCCTTGCGGCTCAGATGCGATCAATAACTCTTGCAGGCACTCCAGAGTTTTAAATTAAGTCATTACAAAAGCGAATCATCCGTATTAAAAAGAAAAAAGATAAAAAAGAATAAAATCTCGTATTCATGTGATTAAGAATATAGTTTTCATGAGGTGATGAAGACAACTTTGAACCTGTTATTAATTTTTTTTGTTTTGTGACTACTTTCAGTGCAGTCAAGGGTAACCCAAGCTCATAAGAGAAAATTGTTGGTTGTAACAGAAATATTATATATGGGTTTTAAAATGGATTATAGCGATCGTTATTTAGGGGTAAAAATAGCAATTAAGATACATGGGAACTTCTCAACTTGTCCCGTTATTTTATTTATGCTGCATTATCATTAGCATTTTAAGCCGTTTTAATACCCAAAAAATAAGAACCTGTTAATCCAGCCAAAATCAAGAAGGTTCTTATATGTTGGTTATAGTTAAATTATGATTTAGCGCATTTTAATCAGAGAGTTTGACTTTTAGATTATTATATTGTTATCTCTATTTTTTTTGTAATAGAGATAATGCTACATATACATTCTGTACCCAGTTTAGTTAGGCTTATCATGATGCAGGTATGAACAAATACTGAATATTAAATGATCAAACTAAAGTTTGTTTATTTTTTGGCAGTCAACAACTATATCCCCTTCACACTAAAAAAGTAAGAACCTAATGAAGAACATAATTCGCTCGACTTAAAAAAAAAATTAGGTTCTTACACTCGGGTTTTTACTGTATTATCAAATTCGCTGAGGTAGAGTAGATTTATTTACAAATCGCCAACAAGAGCACCCCAACGCATGCTAATCAAGTCCTTTTATCTCGCCGTCGGCTAAAGCGATCGCCAAGAACTTGGCTTTGAGCTAAAGACGCATTTCGAAAGCTTCTCCTTTTTATAATATATAGATTTAGCCGGGGCTAAAGGCGATGCTCCCGTTAATGAACATACTTTGTAATAAAAGATATCCAATTATAGTTGAGCCTGCAGTTAGTTGAAAACTGGAAACTGGGTAGACACCTGTGCCTGCGATACGGTCAGGTGATACTGGTCAGTAGATACTTTCTTTCGACAGCTATCAATTAACCACAACATGGATTTGCAATATCAGTTGCAGGGTCCCACACTAGCTAGAAAGTGTAACATTTCACATTGATTTTCCTGTGGTGCTGACGTACGGGCCGGAGGGTGGACAATCAAAATTTCTGGGATTGATAGGTAACCAAATTTTCTTAGCTATGGGGCTCCGCTCGAGAGCGCGGCGTGGAGCGCCGCTATAAATATTTGGTATATTATTAAGACAGTTAGGTTTCTACTGTATTTCGTAACGCAAAGGTTATGCTAAAATGTCTGTTTAATGCAGTCGTAGGATATTTTAAACTTGTGGCGACTGAAGGTACGATCCTCTGAGAATGATTTCCGACACCATCCTCCATCCTTGAAGAGAGAAATATGACCGCAAGTAAAGTAAGTAGTGACAAATTGATTGCATTGTTATGACAAGTGCGTTAACACTGGCCATAGCAGATCTATTAACATTAGTAATGCAGCTGTGCTGAACGTGTTTGGATGAAATTGTTCACTGCGATACATTCGACGCTATAAAAAAACGTACCAGGCGCGTTCGAGCTTTTTTCCTCTTCCCTACTACTAGCTAGCTGCTTTAAGTTGACGAAAGTTTTTGTAAGTTTCAATTTTTTAAACTAACTTTTGTAAAATAAACTTTTATTGAGCGGAAACAAAAAGTAAGTGAACGCTAACACTAGGGTCCCGTTGTTGCCGAAGACCGTCAACGTACAAACATTAATGAATACCTTCTATCTTTCGTTTTCCCAATTAAGGTCCTAGGGAAATTTGACCCTTTGCCTTTTCATTAATCACGCGTACAATACGCGTGTGATTAAGACGAAATTTGTAACAAACAAATCTTAACATTATTATCCCTTGATCTGCATTGGGAAAACAAAACATTATGCAAGCTAAAGAGGTTTATTAAACTACATAAGCAAACTGGCGCAAGGGAAGGAGTAGGAGAAGAAAAATAGAAAAGTATGTGGATACTTCACTTAAGAATAAACTCAGGTTGATTTTATGATTCTTTCATTGATTTTGCTAGCAAAACTCTCTTACTTTTTAATTTAAACTAACAAATATACTGGTATAAGGAAAAAATTGAAGAGCGGTAGTGCCAACTCACTCCCGTATTTTTACTCTGGGAAGGATGTTTATTATTTTTTGAAGATTAGAATGTCATCGTCTATCGCTTTACGCTTCTCCTCTTTAAGAAATCTTTTTTTTCAGAATAAATACTATTTCTATAGGTAAAATTCCACTGATCACCTGTTGGGTTTTCGCTTTGCAAGAAGTGATCAGAGATTATAGTTTCTTACAGTAAGACCTCAGGGCTTACTCACTGTCCTCGAGCTCTCTGGCCTGGGATGTACTCTTCAGTAATATGCGGTTACCAGGGTATAAATCTGGCTGTTGCATGGGAACTGCTCAGACATGGCCCGAAATGGCAACCAAGACTGCTGCTATCTTAAACTTTATTCCAAAGGAGTTTTCATGAGATACAGGCTTTCAATCAACCCATGGGAGGTTACATGCGCAAAAGTAATGGCTCGTGGTTTGTTTGATCTGAGACGTAAATATTTGAATTTTTCAATACTCATTTTTCCTAAGATCATGTAATTGAACACTTAGAAGGTTTGGCAGGAAAGATTTCGACTTTGTGTACAGATGAAATCAGGGCTCCGTTGGTGAAAGAACCCTTGAAAAACCGGACTCGCAGGTGTTGTCTTTATTTTTATTTCAATTCAAATTTCATTTCTGTACTGAACCCTCTCTGTTTGTTTCAGGAAATCTAGTTTGTCTTATTGACAAACGAAGGCATTATGGTTCTTTATACATTGTTTGTATTACATATTGTAGATAAAACTTATTGTCTAGTATTGACCAAGCATTAATAATTTTTTTCCTAAAACCGATTAAAACAGAAAATACAAAGTAAATAGATGTTGAGTTTCTTTTAACATGATGAAATCACGGCTGAAATCTTAGTTCCGATTTTCTCAAGAAAACAACTATGAATGCCAAGATAATTCGACCGCAACTAAAGCTTTCAGTACTCTTGTTTTGTCTTCCGCTTGAACATCACCAGGTGATAAAAGAAGAAATAACAATAATAATAATAATAACAATAATAATAATAATAATAATAATAATAATAATAATAATAATAATAATAACTCAATAATAATTGCAATGTCTTGCAAACGCCTGTTATAAAGCGTAGGCAGCTTGGCGCGAGTAAGGAGTTCCCCGTACGTTTCAGTTTGAGATTTATATACTGTGCGCAGCGTACGCTCTTGGATGCACTCGATATTTCTGCGATCAGATGATCTGCAGAATTTCGGTACTAAATGACATTAAGTTAAGTATGGCAAGATGGACGTCTTGTATAACATTAACTTCACGTTACAGGGTATTAAGTTTCGCAGACGTACCAGTATTCCTACTTTTTGACTAGCTCTCGTACATAACCCGGTGATATTATACACTTAATGTCAGTTCCCGAGGGAAACAGTTAGGTTTTGTTTTCCCGAAAGTTCTGATATTTCCCGAGACGAAGTCGAGGGAAACATCAGGACTCGAGGGAAAACAAAACTAACTGTTTCCCGAGGGAACTGACATTAAGTGTTTTGTTATATTCCTAGACTTTTACTTCAACAGTGACAAAGAAGTAAAGAACGAATGAAAACAATGTCAGTACTTCAAAGGGCACATTTAATTCAAATCTGTACATGAATTACTTAGCACAAAGTATATGAACAAGTAGTTTCTGGACTTAAAAGCTCAATATTGAGATAAGCTTAAAGAGAATCACTTGGAATTACCTTGATAAAAGTTTATAGTAACAGCTGCTCCTGAAAATGCGCTTGCGTTAGAGTTAACCGTTTCCTGGCTTTGCGATGCGAAATTTTACATCGTGATGGGTGATCTTGGCACTGTGTTTCCGACTAGAGGACAATCTGCCTCTGCAGTTTGCTCTTATCTCTCTAAACGTTCAAATCATGCAGGCGCTGAGTGAATGGGAAATTTCCTTTTGTTTAACCTCAGAAAGGCGCCTTGAATAAGAGCGAATGCTGCTCTCAGACTTGTGGCCAGAAACACGCATTATATGGCGGGCCTCAAAATTACACTCGTCTAATAACGATACGGCAGTTGCCCTAATGATTGGTGTACTGATAAGACAATTGTATTTCCGTTGAAATGGAACTCATTAACGTAGCTAGCGTATTTTCCCGAGAGGAGCATTACAATACCAAACTTCATCACTTTCGCTAAAACTTTCACGCGCCTTCGGCCTTTGCCACAAACACGACAAATTAGGATTAAGCTTTGATAAATACAGTTCAAAAGTTTTTACTGGACAGTACGGACTATTCGGTCTTTCATACATACGGCCTTCACCTGGAGAATAATCTGGTTGATCCTTTCCCCTGTGATTTTTGTCCAGTTCATCAAGTGCTTGATATACGTACTTCTTACCAGTTGCATCAGCCTGCACGGCAAACGTCTGTTTTGTAAGAAGACGGAGATTTTCTCTCCCGTGGCGAATTAGATGGAACATGAGATTGAACCAAACCATTTGCTGGAGGGATTTTAGCAACTTTTTTATTTGTAGCATGTCCCCTTGGGCCATGGTAACTATCCTGCCTAAACAAAGTATTTGAGCAGCTGCTAGGCAACCAAACTACAAGTAAGTTTGACTGCCATCTCGGAGACTGTCTTACTGCCTATCGTAGACATCACAGTTGTGAAACAACACTCGATGTCCTTGTAAAGGGCTGGAAACGTGCCAAGAACCAGTCGATATCCCTCAACAGACATGTCGAAAGCGTTTGATTGTATGCATTCACTACTATGGTTTCCGAGACAAGGCGGTCGACATGCTTCGGAGTTACTTTTACGATCGCCAATTTCGTCTACGAATCGGGACGGTAAGAAGCTCTTGGAGGCCAGTAAATTGTGGCTGGCCTCAGGGGTCAGTCTGAGGACCGCTACTCTAGAACATCTTCCAGAACGATTTCGTGTACATTGTGTACACGGGTTTACTATGTATGCAGATGACCATAAAATTTTCGAGATAGGCAAAGAAATGTGCACTGTAGTGTCCCAACTACAGCAGAGCGCAACCCTAGCAACCAACTCTGGTATGATTCGAATCTCCTTCAGGGCAACCTTCAGAAGTATCAGATGATGACTATACGAAGAACACACGCAAGTAATGAGCCCAAACGAGTATAACTGTTAAGGCCGAGATTATAACTGAATCTGAAAATCTACAACTCCTTGGCGTAACTATCGACAAAAGACTCAAGTTTAACGAACACATCAATAGCGTATGCATGAAGGCTATTCAGAGGATCAGCGTGCTGATGCTGTTAAGAAATCTGATACCTACCATGGCACAACTCTATACATCAGCAATTCTTCCCCACCTCACTTACTGCCGTTTAGTAAGGCACTTTTGCAAGGCCTCAGACAATCGCGGATTAGAGAGGCTACAAGAACGGGGCTTGCGGGCTATCTTCAGGGACACACATCTTAATTACCAACAGCTTTTAGATAAGCAAATTTACCCACTCTGTGCAACAGACGGCTCCAAGATATATGTATTCTAATGTACAAAGCGAAACATAACTTATGTCCCAGACCAATTTTCAATCTATTTCAGCCTAGTAATTATACTTATCAGGTGTGACAAACTGACTCAGTTGCCCTATCCAGAGGTAATTCTACTACTTATGGCAAACATTCGATAAGATACCTTGGTCCCAAACTGTGGCGTAACTTATCCAGAAAGGAGAGACTTGCAATCTTAATACTTTTAAATCGCAAAAATAAGCGTGACTTATCAAGCCTCTTAAAAGATGGTTCACTGTACAGGCTGCTATCTATGCAATTCCTAAATTTCCTGTTTGTAAAATTACTGTTTTCACTGTAAAGACATTTGTCTTCGATCTTTTGTCATTGTTAATGTATTATATATATATATATATATATATATTTAATCTTTTATACATATACATAAGTTTTTGATTCTTAGCTAGCTCTATATAGATTTGGTCAGTTTCATACATTTTTATGCTTAGTTAGGTGTCCCCTGTTAGCTGAGGGTTTCCCCTCTGCTAGATATTTTATTGACAAGTTAATTCATTCATTCATTCATTCAATCAGCCCGTGAGAAGTTACATGTGCCGTAGTGGCTCGTGTTTTGTTTGATCCGAGACGACCGTTAACATTTATAAGTTTTTCATTTCTCTATAGAATTAGACTTTTAGTTGAGATCATGTAATTGAACACTTTGAAGACTCGGTGCAAAAATTTCTACATCTACACCTTCATCTACAACTTTAATCTATAACAGTTTCCCATCACATAGATTCACCATCTACAGACGATATCTCTGTTTGTATAAGAACCCGCCCCTGGAAAAACCGGGTTCGCAGGTGTTGTCTATTTTAATTCAAATTTGATTTTTGTGCTAAATCCTCTATTTGTTACGGGAAATCTAGTTTTTAACTTATTGACAAAAGGGGGCTTTATTGTATTTCTACATTGTTTTTATTACATATCTGTTTTAGTTGTAAATAAAATTTATTGTCTAAGCGTTCAAAAACTCAATAATAATTTCTAAAACCCGAACATACAAGGTAAATTAATGCTGACTTCTTTTAATCTGATAAAATACGACTGAAATGTTAGTCACATTTTCTCCAGAAAACAATAATGAACCCAAGGATAATTCAACCGCACTAAAGCTTTCAGCGCTCTTGTTTTATCAAGCGTAAACACCTTCAGAAGAGTCTTGTGTTTTGAAAATCATCAGATATTAAAATCGTCTTGCTCGTTTCTCAAACTACAAAATCATCATGTCATTAAGTCAAGTGAGAAAGAAGATTGTTTTCCCGACCACTCAGAGGAAACGTCTTTGCAAATAGTCGATATTCTTGTTTTTGTTTCTGTGCAACATGCGTGAAGCATACTGGTGCAATGAATTATTTCAAAAAGAAAATAATCATCTATTGAACATTATACAGAAGTTGTAAAGAGTCAGCCGTCTACGCCCAACGAACTGAAACTGCTTTTTTTTGTCTGTTCCCACGGACGGTGTATAAAGCCTGTCTTCTAAATTAAATAGTTAGTATTCTTTGACATTAAAGCACGGCGGGATTGGATAATAATCCTGTTTTCATTATGAATACAAATATACCATTGTCTATGGTTTATTTATTACCGAACTTTAAGCTTCCGTATTGACTGAGTCGAAGCACACAGTCTTCCATAGACGGTGTAGAAAGTGCGTCTTCAAAATCAAACAGTTAGTATTCTTTGACATTAAAGCATGGCGGGATTGGATAATAATCCAGTTTTCATTATGAATACAAATATACCTTTGTCTATGGTTTATTTATCACCGAACTTTAAGGTTCCGTATTGACTGAGATCCGGGCAGACAGCGTTCGCATCTTTTTATACGTCTCATGCAACGCCCGCACGATGAAGAACATATCAACCACCATCTTCCCAACTAATTCATCTACGCTCACGCCGCAGCTTCCCTCTAAAGTTGAAGGAATAGCCTGGTGCATTGCTTTTACGTTGGAAGCTCTCTTAATTGTTCTAGGAAACTTTCTCACCCTTGTTCTCGTCGCCGTTAACAAGAGGCTTCGCAAAAGAAGTTTGTTTTTGGTCATTAATATGGCTTTTGCCGATTTGCTATCCGGAGCTGTATCTCTGCCCATTCTCATTTACACCATTGGAGCTGGTTTCATGCTTTGGAAAGCTCGATTCGACAAGACGTTTTATGCTTATCAAGTTTTTGGTCAAACCGTTGTCTTACAGGCGTCACTAATTTCTGCGGCATTAATAACTTGTGAAAGATTTCACGCTGTCTATTGGCCTCTGAAGCACCGAATTTTGTCAAGGAGGGTGTACCACACAGTAATATTTATGGTTTGGATACTAGCCATCCTTTTTTCCATTCCTCAGCTCTTAATTTCCAAGCAACTGACTTTTTACACGTTTGTTTCGATCTTGTTGAGTCTGTTATTTACAGTATGTACCTGTAACATCGCTATTTGGAGAAGATTTCGACGAAGAATTGCATCCCAACAACAAAACCGAGAAGCACAAAATCGACATCTGACAAAGACCTTGCTTTTAATATCGACTGTCGAGATCTTTTCTTGGCTTCCTTTGACTATAAGTAATCTTGTAGTTACTGCTTTTGAGGTCCCCGTCCCTTTAGCAGTTTTGTTCACCAGTGTTGCGGTAAATTATTCAAACTTTGTCCTAAATCCAACTATTTATGCTTTAAGGTTTCAGGAGTTTAAACAAGCACTAAACTTTTGTTGCCATAGGACTCATGTTGCAACGACGAAAGTAGAAAGCAGTGGTCGAAATAACAACACTGGCTTTAATACATCCAGTATTTCTGAAATAGAAACACTGGGTTTGTGTTGTTGTAGACGTCGGAAATCGATGAACACTAGACAAGGTGGTCGAAGAAATTACAGAGCACACAGTTTGAGGCCAACGACATTGTCAACTAACTCTAGTGACCTACAGCTAGCGTTTGAACAGGAGGTTATGGACACAAGATTATAGTTATATATGATGTGACGGAAAATCCAGTTTTCATGAGGTGATGAATACCAAACCAATTATTAATTTTGTTAGAGGTATATCCCAAGCTCATGAGTGAGAATCCATGTTGTGAAACAGAAATATTTACAATATCACTATTTTGAGGGTTTGAATGGGAATTTTGTCAATTGTTATTTATGGTCAAAAAATGCCAGAACAGATAGCGCAGAACTTTTTACTTGTCTCCTTGTTTAATTTGTGACCTTTTTTCTAGCATTTGTAGCCGTTTCAGGGCGATTCTAGCGAGTTCTGCGGTTGTTCCCTCATTAAAGGGATCTTACGAAACTATGACGGTGACGGCAACGAGAACGTCCAAAAACATCCCTCAGTCCTGAGCTTGGGGTAGCTGTAAATGGGGCGGGGAAATACCTTTTAAAAGATATTCACTTATGAATTTGTATTTCCGCAGTTGAATCATCTTCATATTTCATTCCTTTCACGGATTAAGGTGACTGTATGGGTCTTCATAGCTCAAATGGTAGAGCACTGCGACGCTAATTCAGAGGCAATGGGTTCAAATTCCGTTAAAGTTCCAATTTTTTTCCGGTCTATTTGCCAATGGCTTAAATTTCAATTACCACTTCGACGATAATATCTTCTTTTAAAAAGATGGCTCGATTGTCGGAGAAACCGTCCGGACGACTATGTATTTCTTAGTAAATTTTGGAGTTTTTAAATAGCTGTATCTCGTTGAATATAAGCTAATATAAGCCCGGTAAGCACCAAACTTTAGAATGTTGCTAGCCTCAATGTGCACTTTCTGACTATATGGATCTCGTGTTGTTTATCCCAAAATAAATGGACTCGTACCTAGCCGCTCTCGGTTAGAAACTAGGCAATAACTCCCGCTTCCGACGTATTCCTCTCCAGCTTCCCGTGCCCCTTTGCCTCCTATTCTTTCTGGCTCCTACTCTCCCCCCACTTGTAATAGCCATCAGGGGATTCTGATGATATTAAGAAAGGCAAAACTATATTTCCGAACCTGCCCTCGAGCTTAAGAATATTGAAACTTTTGACCGTATAACGTCTGCTACAAGTAGTGGAAATGCACAATAAATTAATGTTAAATTCATGGCCATTCTCACCATTATCGCAAGTTCATATTGCACAGGACCATAAAAAGCATATCGATCGAGGGTGAGGGCTCAGGTTACCGAACTGAAAGCAGGGGTCAGGTTATAAACGGCACTTACAACAAGACTTAGACCTAAAAAATTCAGAAATGAGGGGTAAATTAAAAAGATTTTTAAATACCCGTCAATACCCAGGTCAGTAGTATAGGAGGGATGTTTTATTCTGTTTTTTTTTTGTGGATTTGATTAACTTTTTCAGTGGCATAAATTAATGCCGATGACGTCATGTGTTCCATTAAGATAGGATGATGTCATAGCTTATTCTTTAGCTGGCAAGGAGCAAGTGACGTCACAATACCAAGGAGGTGAAGTCATCAAAAAAATGTTGAGATAATATTCTATAAATAGAAAAGTGATTTTTTATATAATCAGCTATTTGCTATAGTCCTCTGATTAGATATTGTAGAAACTGTTACGTGTTTAAAATAAAAGCGGGCAAATTTTGAACGTGTTATCTTTGCAGATTATACTAAATGAAAAATCTTCAATCATTTAATTATTTTCGCTAAAAATCGATTATAAACAAAACCAAGGCACAGAGGTCAACTGAAAAATCTTTACTTCAAAAGAAGGAAAAACGAGGTTAGGCGAATACGAAATGGTACTAAGTTTTTCGGGCAAAACAGGAAAACGAAGTCGAGGCACATCGAAGCGACAAACTGCCTATCAAGCAAAAATGTCAATCTTTGTTTACTTGACTCTGTAGAAAGTATTGCACAGGGTGTAAAACCCTAACTCTTTTGGTTCTTAAATAAACCCCATTCTTCTTCCTAATGAGTCGAACGTGTTTAGCGCTAAAAATCGGATACATAAACAAAACACATACACACATACACAAAGTGGAGCTGAGAACTCTCTATTTCAATTTTGACTCACCATTACAAAAGCGTTTTCTCCGTTCTGTCTTGAGGAAACGATGACTAACTATTGAAGTCTCAGCGCTTGATGAGCTTATGGTCTTGTCAATTCACACGCTGTTAGTCAGTCAATTATGCGAGTTCCAAGCCCAAAATTTGAATAGAAATTAGTAGTTCATCTCCACAGCTAGACCCAGGGGAGCACCTTGACGGATTATTATTTAAACAATTTTAAATAACTTAACCAAGGATCAATTAAAACACGCGACTAATAATTGCTAGCAATAAAATCACAAGAGAGATACCGTTTTAAAAACTTTATTAAAAACCAATAACAAAAAGAGTCAAATACATAGCGATTTGAAAAGAAAAGGAATGAAAATTAATCTTTTGACTGACTATTACGAATCCGTTTTTTCCCGGTTCTATTTCGAGGAATAATAAATAATCCTTCCCTGTCTACACAATTTTCGTATGGCCTCTAAGCCAAGAGTTCGACTTTCTTCGTTTCTTGTGCTTTGTCTTGTTCTTTGTAGTCGGTCTTTTAGCTTTTGCTTTAAAAGAGGCTTCATTTCTCCGTGATCTTGACAGTTCGTACACCGTTTCTTGTGTCTGTACTGGATTGCGATAGTGATTTTTTCCGGAATTATTCGCTTCACTTTCGTACTCGACGACTTTAACTTTAGGTTGCAGTTTCTCCTCTTGTAAATACTGTCTGCGCTGTATGTGGTCTAACGGATGAACATGCGCGAGATGGTTAGCTAATTGGACAAGGTACTTCGCCCTACACGATGAAATCGGACAGTTTCTGCAAACTCTCTTGTAAACCATGTTGACAGTTCGACGACTGAACACAAATGACATCTTTTTCGCAAATAGTCAGGTTATATAGAGTGTCAGAAAGGCCAAACACAGGCCGGAAAGACCAAAACAAGGCCAAAAGGGACAAAAGGAGACAAAAGGACCATTTCTAGTCATGTGTCTTTATTTTTCTCAGACACACGCGTGGGTGTCGCGCGTCGCTAGTCGTGCAACTGCTCTCAACATTGGATTCATCATCTTTATTCAGTGTAATCACAAATAACAGTGCCTAATTAAAAAAGTTTTGATCTTGAAGTAGTAATTGGTATTTCAAATTTCAGATTTTTTTATTTATTGTATCAGTTTACTATTATTGATATTATGATCAAGTCAGCAATAAAACTCTCTTAAAGTTTGGTTTTTACAGTTTTTATTGAAACACAACAATACAAAAATCCGGGAAAAATAATTCTATAACATTCATAGTTGGACTAGTCTTCATTTTGTGGAATGGGCTGCTTTTGATACAGTCGATTGAGTAAGAATTTTTGCTTATCGATCGCTAGTTCTGTCGATTCCAACCAATCGAATCCTTCTGAATCTTTTAGCTCTTTTTGGGCTTCATACACTTTTTTGAAGGTGGGATCTTTTTTCGTTGCACGCATCCACTGTAGATTCTCTAAGAGTATTTTTCTTAGCTCTTTTCCGTAAACAGGAAGAAGAGCGTTCTCGGCTTTCACGCGGGCCACTTTTTCTGAATCTCCGTTCCCTTCGTTAGTCATTGATCAATACGTTGAGCTGGGTGTCATGGCGTCTCTCGGCTTCATCAAGAATGCGTAACCAAGGCGATAAGTTTTCTGTTTCTTATTGGGAAGACTCCGTTCCTTGGCTAGAGACTTTGCTTTCTTGGGAGAAATCACTTTCTTCGCTGTCTTCATATTTTCCAGCTTCTTGTTGAAGGAATAAGGTATAGCCTGTGCTCGTCATTTTTGGTTTGAACCGCACGAGTTCTGATAGGAAACTAAACTTCAGAAAACAACGCCTCCCTTTTATAGAAACTCAGTTGGTGAAGGCGGGGTTTGGGTAAAGTTTCTCCTTCGTAAATAATAATCGATCTTACATCGACCCCACATCGACCCACACTTGCCAATCGGGCCGAGTTTCGTAATATTTTCTCTTCAGTCTACGTATCTCTGGGAAATAAGTTTCTAGACGGCCCCATCACACCAATACAACTGAGACAACTGCACCCTTCTACGGTATCTCCTGGTGACAGAGCATTATATAACGAAGGCCATCGTTGTCCAGGCGAAGGGCTAAACATTGATCTTTTAATTGGTCACACTCCTTTTCCTTCTGACGCAGTTGACGTTGTGTTTTTCCAGTACTGGAGATCCGGGATGAAATGGTTTTGGCATCTCTCAAACAGCTTGATATAAACAAAGCAACTGGATCCGATGGAATTCCCGTGCGGCTGCTGAAGGAAACCGCTGACCAGATCTCACCGTCCCTGGCCAGGTCATTCAACAAATCCTTGCGGCTCGGCATTTTTCCGGGAGACTGGAGACTCGCGAATATTGTACCCATTTTCAGGAAAGGAAAGAGAGACTTTGTGGAGAATTACTCCCCTATTTCCCTTTTCCCTGTCATCTCCAATGTTCTCGAGCGCTGCGTTCTGGCGGGGCTACGAGATCATATATCCCACCTCATCAGTCGCGAACAATATGATGGCTTTTTAGCTGGTAGATCTTGTGTGACTCAGCTCACCAGAGTCTTACATTATATTGGCGGTCAACTCGACGCCGGTAAACAAATAGACATTATATATCTTGACATGAGTAAGTTAAGGCATTCTACAAAGTAGATCACACCAAGTTACTTGGAAGGTTGCACCAATACAGCATTACTGGCAAACTTCACGACTGGTTCCGTTCATACTTACAGGGACGCAAGCAACAGGTTACAGTTCTAAAAGCAACTTCCCTAGAATTGCCGGTTACATCCGGGGCACCAC